TATATATACAGTATATATATGTTTTGACTCCAGCTGGTTACATCATCAAAAAGAATTGCGCGGTTGGCCGGCAGACTACAGATCTCTATCATAGGACAAATTTATATCGTTTCTACCGTATATTGTTTATATCGCGCATTCCTAATTTGTAATGAACAATCTTAACTTACTTCTCCAACAACATATTTTTATACATTTTCTTAAATTGCCTGATATTTGGACATTGTCTGAGATCTCCACTTAATTTATTCCATAGTCTAACCCCAGAAATAGATATACGGAAACCTTTCATGGTTGTTTGCATAAATAAAATTTTAAATTTATATTTCTCTCTTAGATCCTACCCTCCCTCGTGATTCTTAAATAAACCTTGAATTTTTTTGGTAACTGTCCCTTATTAGCCTTATAAATAATAATCTCTGTCGGATAAGATACAATATCAATAAATTTTAATAATTTTGATTGTTTAAAAAGTGGATCTGTATGTTCCAAATAACTGCCTTTGTGTATAAATCTTATTATTCTTTTTTGCAGAGTAATAAGTGACTGCAGTGAAGTTTTATAAGTATTTCCCCAAATTTCTGCACAATAATTTAAATACGGCAAAACAAGGTAACAGTAAAGTCTACACAACGAAGTTTGATCTAATACTTGTTTTGCTTTATTTATAACTGCAATACTTCTTGAGATTTTGGATTGTATATGAACAATATGTGGTTTCCTTTTTTACATTTAAAGTACTGCCATTTGGGCTGAATGCAATGTTAATGAGGGACAGATTTGGCCCGTGAGCCTTGATTTTGACACGTGTCAGAGCAATACTGAAGCTCTATTAAAAGGTAGTTTGTAACATACAGCACACAGTAGACACGTTATAAAGGCAGAAAGTTGGCATCATTTTCTGATTGAGGATATCAAATAAAACAGATATATTAATCTAAAATGGAAAATTTAGAAAAACACCTCAAATACAGCATGTATTAACCTCTTAAACCTTCTATACACTTCACTACACTACTGTTAGTGTCTGTAACCAATGTACCCACTACCTACCTACCTACCTACCTACAGTACCTACCGACCGACCGACCGACCTACCGAACTACCGAACTACCTACCGAACTACCGAACTACCTACCGAACTACCGAACTACCTACCGAACTACCGAACTACCTACCGAACCGTGAGACTAAAGTATTGAACCAAACCGAATCGTGAATTTTCTGTATCGTTGCAGCCCTAATTTATATATATATATATATACTGTGTATATATATATATATACATATATATTTTACGTGATTTATATGTGGTTTCCAAGTTAATTTGTCATCTAAGATTACCCAACCCCTTAATCACCATTAGTAAACAGAAAAATTGCTACAACTCAACACTTGTACAGATACTGAGGTAAAGTTTGACGTGGTTGTAGCTGTAAGGTGTCACCATTCCTCACCTGTGTCCCTCCGCTCCGTCCAAGATGGCTCCTCCCTCCTCCACGACCTCTCTCCACTTCCTGGATTACCGCTGACCAATCCGCTCCTCAGACCCCTCCCCCCTGCCACCAGGGCGGCGGAGGTGAACAGGTTGGTGTGCGTTGGTGAAATGGAAGTCCTATATGACGGTTCGTCGACATCCTCTCCGTCTTCGTCCTCTCCGTCCGAGGCGATGGGCCTTCTCGCGTGCCGCTCCTCGGTGAAGCCCGTCCAGCTGGACTTTCCGAACCCGGGGCTTCCCAGACTCCCGAACTTTGTCCAGCTTTGACCCAAACCGCCCCAGCCTCCTCCAAAGGAAGACAGGTGTGAAGAGCCCAGCCCCAGAGAGGTGAGAGACGTGTTCTTGTACCTCTCTGATGAAGATGATGAAGTGGAAGATGAAGCAGCTGAGGAGAAGAGATGGGCTCCGCCCTGGCGTAACCAGGGCCACTCCTTGGACGGCGTGCTCCCCGGTCCTCTCAAACCTTTCCTGCCCTCTTCGGCTTGGCCCAGAACGAACCTCGCTCGAGTTTTCGACGGAGCCAGAGCCTCTCGTTCCATCCCATCTTCCTCCTCCTCATCATCCAGGTTCTGCTCAAAGTGCCTGTGGCGATGTTTGTGTTTGTGCTCACTCCTCCCCCATGCACAGGAGAGGCTGGAGGTGAAGCCCAGGCCGCCTCCTCCTTTGCTGCCTCCCTCCACCTCTCCTCCTAAAGCTCCCTCCCGCAGCAGCCGACTCCTCCTTCGGTGGAACCTCGCCGGGTTGAGGAGGAAGTGGGCGTGGTGAGGCTGGTGCAAGGCGTACTGGTGAGGGGGTGGGAGTGGGTAGGAGCTGGGGAGGTGGTGATAGAGCCCGGGCGGCGCTGGAGGGTAGCTGCTGTAATAGCCCATGTTGTCAATGGTTTCCTGGAACTTGGACGGGCAGCCGCACTGCCTGCGGTCCAGCTTCCTGTTGCAGTGGCATGGGTAGAAAGGTTGAGGAGTGAAGGAGGGTCCGCCGGAGAAAGAGGAAGGGTGGGGCGAGTAGAAGCCATTCAGGTTGATCCTGAAGACGTTGGAGCGCAGGGGATGGGAGGAGGGCGGATTGTGTCGTCTTCCTCCTGCGGCGCTCTTGTCGAAGTCTGGCCTCGGCCCCATCCTCGCCCAGCTCCGCCGTCCGATGTGGACGTCGCCGAACTGAGCGATGAGATCGTCCAGCTCAGCCAGGAACTCTGGATCCTGCAGCTGCTGGTGCTTCTTCTTGTGTTTGTTCTTCTGCCTCTTCAGAGCACCGTGCCCGAGGCAGGGCACGTAGTCGGGCAGGGTGCACTTGTGTCCCGGACACGAGCACAAGCAGGCGCAGGAGGAGGGACAGTCGTGGTCCCTGCGCCTGTGTCGGTGTCGCTCCGCAGAGTTTAAGTTGCCGATGGCGTTGGAGTGTCTGGACATGCTGGGGGGTGAGACCGGAGAAGGAGGGAGCCTCTGAGCGCCTAGCGTCACCCCTGACCCCGGACCAAACCGAAGTCCTCCTCGAGCTCCCCTCATCTCCCCTCGCTCCGAGACGCTGTTGTTGTCGGTTCCGATCCCGCTGTCGCTCGGCAGCGTCTCGTCGCTGTGAGACTCGCTCCTGGGGGAGGGCGTGGCCTCCTTCAGGTGGCTGGGAGAGCCGGGGGTGGGGTGCAGAGGAGGTGTGGCGCAGGAGAGCTTACACGTGGACTGGTGGAAGGGAAACTGATGCCTCCCCTGACATGGACAGCTCTTCTTCACGAAGGGGGAGGACGGTGGACGGGGGGATGTGCAGGAGGAGGTCGGGGATGGGAGGGAGAAATGGTGGGAGAAGAGGAGGGAGGAGGACGGCTCTGTGAGGCTGCCCTCGCTGTAAGGACTCTGGGCTCCGCTGGAGTGGGTCAGGGACGGGGAAGGAAAGGGATGAGAAAGCTGGCTGGACGAGAAGAGCGAGCCCTCAGAGTGACCGGTGAACAGGGTGGCCTGGGTGGAGCACTGGGAGCCGGCGTGAGCTTTGGGCTTGCGTCCTCGCCTCTTGCCCATGTAGATGGTGCCCCTCTTGCTCACGTTGATCTGTGGGCCTAGCTTGCTCCCGAACGAGGAGGACAGGGCTGAGAGCGTGTGAACCGTCGTCGCCATTCTCAGCGAGGTTCTACCGTCAACCGCCTCTCCTGCCCTTCCCTCCTTCCTCACGTAACCAGACATTATTGCTTTGTGAAACCTCCTCTTCTTCCTCTTCTTCATCTCGTTAATAAGCCTCCTGATCTTTAGCTGCCGGTTGCCCTTTTCGGGAGGATGAAAGCCGTTGCCCCTCTCGTCGAGATCCGGTGCGTCTTGGCGGTCGAACTCGGGGTGGGCTCTTTTGGGAGGACGGCCACGCTTCTTGGGGCTCGGCTGCAGAATCGGCTTCAGCACGGGGGCTTTCTGGACTCGGTGGCACCCGGCAGGAAGCTCCTCGGCTGCTCCGGCGTTGGGCGAGAGCTGAGGTGGAGGCTCCTCTGAGCTGAAGCTGTGGGATTTCGGTCTGCCTCTTTTTCGAACGCTGTTTGTGGGGAACACCGAAGCGAGGGGGACTGGATCGGTGGCGGGGTGAGTCTGTTTCGGGGTTGGAGGTTTGATTGTGGAAGACAGCGAGGAGGAGCAGCTGGAGGGTGGTAAGTGTGACTCATCGCTCGGCTGAACGGTGGTTTTGGCAGGAAACGACGCCTTGGTGAGCAGAGGGAAACTTTGTGAGGGATTATGTGGGGAATCTGAGGAGACGTCCTGACTGTCCAGCCTATGGGCACGGTGCACCAGCTTCGTCCAGCTGGGCCTTCTGGCTTTGCGTTTCTTGAGTGGCCGGCTGTCCTGCTCTGGGGGTGAGGCAGTGGGGGAGACGGGAGTGTTGGCGGGAGGGGGAGGAGCAGACGAAGCGGAGTGGGCTGGAGGAGCAGCTGAATGTCTTGAGACATCTTGATCTTTTGATTTACTGGAATCACCTGTCGTTGTGGGCTCGGCTTGTTTCGCTGCCCTGCAACTGTCGTCTGTCTTTTCTTTCTCCGTCACTGTTTTGCAGGTTTTGTCTTGTTTACAAGCCATTTCACTACATTTTATGTTGTTATCCACTTTTCCTTGTCCATCAGAACTGAGCTTTTCTCTCTTCTCAACCTTTCCTCCCTCAGTCTTTAGCTCCCACGAATCATCATCTCTTTGTTTTTGAGCCTTTTCTTTATCGCGTCTTGATTTGCCATCCTTGTCCTTTTTCTTCTTCTTTACTTCGTCCTTCAGTCTCTCGGTCTTCTCTCGCTCAGCCTCCAGTTTATCTTGCTTTAATTTCTTTGCTCTCCGCTTCTCTTTCTTGGCTTTCCTTTCCTTTTCCCTCCTCCTCTCCGGCAGAGAGGGATCCTGATCTTTGGATGACGTCGAAGAGAGATCCACGGCGGGGGAAGACTGTGGTTTGGGGGAGTCCGGGCGACGGGAAGGAGAGTCTGGCCTACTCTTGCTCAAAAGTTCTTTATGCGGGCCGGAGAGGGCCAGAGGCCTCGCTGGAGAGTCCGTGGAAGAAACAGAAGACGCGCTGACGTGTTTTCCAGCTTTGCTTTTTGAAGAAGGGCCAAGAATATTTGCAGAGCTTCTCCCATCTGATAATCCCTTCTGTTTTGCCATCTGAACCAAACCATTGTGTTTTTTGGAGCTGCTCCCATCATTCCTGGTGTCCAACGTGGAGACTTTGGAGTTGCCTGCGGCGGACCGAGCGGTCGACGCAGTCTGGTCGGTTGCGGGCGAGCAGAGTTTAGGTCCGGCGGGGACGGGTTGACCGTTGACGCTCGAGAGCTTGTCCTTTTTCTCTCTCTCCGACGAGCCGTTCACTTTCTCCTCCGTCTTATCGGCCAGCTTGATGGGAACCTGGGGGATTTAAACACAGACAGAAATATGGCTTTGACATCCATTCGGTCGCTGCTGGCAGCAGTGAAGGACATTCAAAACGAGACGGTGGCTAAAAATATTGTTATTGCTCGTCTATTTAAAGAGAGCTGGAGGATAAAACGACTCCAGCAAGATGTGGAAATGAGGGCAAACTGCAGAAAAGGAGAGAGCTAGGTGATGAAAAAATAAAAAAAACAAGAATGGGGTCAAAAAAAAGGAGAAATGCAAAGGCAGAGAAACAGAGGATCGGAGTGGGACAGGGAGAGAAAGGGGGGTGAAAGATAAATGACAGCGACTAGAGAAGAGTAAAAATAGAATAGAGGAATAGATATAGAGCAAAGCAGCGACTGAACGAGACAGAAAACGTTGCTATTGGTAGCTATAAATTACCACTAATGCCAATGAGAAGGCTTGACATTTCATACTTGTGCTGTAATTTTGGTATGTGGCTGCTTGAGTGGCGTTTGAGCATCTAAAGCTATAAGCTCCCCCTTGGGTGATTAACGTAAGAACCCAACGTTTGTAATAACTCCAAATGGTTGCCGTGCTGTTGTCCTATTTTTAGTCCCCCGTTAATTCTAATGTGCCGCTTCGGTTTCAGTGCCGAGACAATGGCTCGTTTCACGGCAAAGCTGGGTGACTCTGAGCATCTCTGAGGCTGGAGGTGAAAAGTGTAAAAAAAGCAGAATAAGAGCAGCAGGAAATGTAATCAACGCCTCACAGCATTAAAATAGTCAGATCGCTTTTTCTTACGTACGTTTTTGGCACCTTTCTCGTTCCACAATTTTAAAATGCTATTTCAACAATTCATATATCAAAACGTTCAGCTCATTCAGGACACTCCGGCTATGACTTTTGGTATTTCTGCTATTTATACTTTTTTAGCTATTTTACTTTTTTAGCCACTTTTTTATGGGTCTATTTTCAACATCCTTAAAATCCTTCAAAATATTTCTAAATGTTCACAGCACCTTACACAATTTGTTCTTGTTATACTCTTTTTAATTTCCTTGTGCTACTTTTAGCTACTTCTTTGCTAATTTTAGCTTTTTCTGCTATTTCAGCTAAAATTCTACTTATTTCTGCTATGCCTCTGCTATTTTCTTCTTTTTTGTAATTCTTTCTTTTGTTGTGTGCTATTTATTGTTCTTACAGATGCTTTAGGCTAAATTCAGCTATTTACTGCAACTTTAGCTAATGTTCAACTGTTATTATCAAAAGTTAGCTTTTGAAGCTAAATACATATTTTTTGTAGCTATTGCTTTATTTTTCTGCTAAGTTTAGCAAACTTGTGCTTCTTATGCTCCCTTATGCTAATTTTAAAAATTCCTGCCACTTTTTAGCTGTTTTACTGAAAATCTTGGCTGTTTTAGCTATTTAACTATAAATTCTCATGTTTTTGTATTTTTATGCTGTTTTGTCTGCTAATTTTTAATATTTTACAACCTTTCACCATCTGGGTGCTATTTTCAACTTGTGGCTGCTATCTTTAGCTTTTTTTTAATACTAATTGTTGCTTTTTTTATACTAGCTTAGTTAAAATTCTGCTTCTTCCTGCTATTCTTCTCCAGTTTTTTCACTTTTTGTGCGTTTTTGTCATGGTCATGGAGGTCAAAAGTCCCACATTACTTTAGATAGGTCTAGTAAAATGACAATACAGCCAGTTTTAAGCTAAAAATTGGTATGAAGGTAGATGAAACTTCGATCTTTCACAAATAGTAGCTGAAAAAAATTTATTTCCAAGATGGCCAACAGTGCTAAATTCAAATGACTTTAATTCAGCCAATTTTTGATATAATGAGCTAAAAATTAGTAAATTGGTAGATGAAACTTAGCTCTATCACAAATAGCAGCTGAAAAAATCCAAGATGGCATCAAAGCTGGTTTTAAAGGACTTTTACTCAGCCAGTGTTTGATACATTAACATGAAAACTGATGTATTGCTAGCTGAGAGCATGCTCTATCACATACTAAAGCTGAAAAATAAATCAAGATAGTAGCCAAAGTTTTTTTGCTACTTCTTTCCCATTGAAAATGAATGGTGCTTTTCTCAACATCCTTAAAATTCTTCATGTTTTTAAATCTTCACAGAACCTTGCACATTTTCTTCTAGTTTTGTTCTTTTTTAATTTCTTGTGTCATCTTTAGCTACCTTTTTTTTGCTAATTGTAGCTTTTTCTATTATTTCAGCTATATCTCTGCATGTTTCTGCTCTTCTTTTGCCAATATTAAGCTTTTTTGTGGTTCTTTCTGCTAATTTGAACTATTTATGCTTCTTACAGTTGCTTTCTGATAAATTCAACTATTTTAGCGTTTAGCTTTTTTCTGTTATTTCAACTAAATTTTTGCTCCTATTTCAATTTCTTTCTGCAAAGTTAAGCTTTTTTTTTCTTCTCTCAGATTTTCAAATTAAACTCACATTTAGTAAGTAAAGTTTTATTTATAAAGCGCCTTTCACAGAAATATATTCACAAGGTGCTGTACAATCATTAACAGTTTAAAAATAGTGGAAAGAATAAAATGAAACAGAAAAACATAATTAAGCAACGAAAACTGAAACATCAAATAAAGAATTAATTTCTAAAATTGTAACTCTAAACACAAGGTCAATGCAGGGCAAAATATACAATAACACACAAAAACATAAGAGAGAGAAAAATATGGCACAAGTTCAATAATAAAAAAATCATTTTTTTAAAAAGAAACAGATTGGCGAGCGTTGGAGGTAGGCTGGCGTTAATGGTGAAATGGTTAGCTAAACGCTTGAGTGAAAACGGGAGTTTTTAGGGAAAAGTGAAAAAGTTTTTAGTAAAAAAGTGAAAAGGTTTTCAGGAAAAAGTGAGTTTTTAGTTTTTTACATTAACACTTGCCAATAAATATTTTCAGATTAATTTCAGCTGCTTTCAGCTAAAGTTTTCAGCAACATTTATTCACACAAGCATTTTCACAGGAAATGCAACAATAATGTGAACCTTCAGTTTTCGCCTCCACTTCAAGCTAACGTCAGTAGCAGATGTTACGATGGAAGCGGTGTGTGTTTCCTCCTTTAACCTACCTGTTTGTCAGGTTTGCTCCCTTGGCTGGTTGTGGCAGGGGCTGAGGCTGGGCTGGACTTTGTTGAGGACACCGACAAAGGTTGTGTTGATGAAGATGATGATGTCAGCGGTTGTGAAGCAGCACATGCAGTTTTTTTGGATGTGGTTTGGGTAGCATCCAAGCCCACGCGCTGCTCTCTGTTTGCTTCGTCTGTGGTTGAGCTGCCTTTGCTCTGCTGGACGGCTTTTCCCTCTCCATCTGCCCGCGGCGGTCCGCCCCGGCCTTGTCTCTGGTAGGTCCTGATGGTGGGTTTGCATACGTAGCTCTCCAAGATCTTGGGCGGCTTTTTGGTGCGCTTGGCCTGGAGCCCGATCCGGACTCGTACGTTGCCCTCGGGGCAGCTGGTCTCCCTGCCAGAGATCTGCAGCTCCTGCTGCCCCACGCCTCCACAGCGCCCCTCGATGAGCAGCTCCAGCACCGCTGCCTTGTTCCCATCCTTTTTACATCCTCGTTTCTCCTCCTCTTTCTTCCTCACGTCCTCGCTTCTCCTTCTTTTCTCCGCCGCTTGATCCTGCTTGGCTTCCTCGGACGCAGAAGCAGTGTCCAGAGTGGAGGTGGTAGTCGGAGGGGTCCCCCCCTTTACTCTCTGGTCCATCAGAGAAGCCGGAGGGGGGACGGAGACGTAAGGTGCTCCGGAGTTCCCACTATAAACTCCTGGGCTGGTGGGGTGAAAGGTGACAAGCAGAGACCAGAAAGGTCACAAAAATAGATCCCGTCGCCGTCCAAAAGCAGCGGAATGCTTTCATCCGGTGAGGAAAACGTCCTTCAGGCTTGAGCCGAGTAAATCTGAAGCAGAGAGAGAAGGAGGAAGAAAAAACAGAGAGACGGAGAGGCCAGGGATTAGTCATGTCGGTGAGCTCAGATGCTGAGCAGCAGCGGTACAGGAACTGAGGGAAAGTCCCCTTCCTGCAGGCAGCTACAGAGAGGTGCTAAAGTCTGTGTCCACAGAAATGATCTCATCACACAGAAAGCTCAAGGGGCCAATCAACGGCACAAAATTCCCAGAATGTCGACACTAACTGGAAGTCTTACTCAGAACCCCCCTCCACCACCACCTCCCCCCAGAAACAACCTCAGCAAGTTCTCTGAAACAATCTGCAAAGAGAGCCGATCTAAGAGACAACTGACACTCCCTAAATCTGTAATCCTTCCTCTCCCTCCTCCCTGGATCAATACATCAATCAATCAGCTGCTGGCTCATTCAAACACTTGATCCAGTTCTTCTCCCATTATGGGATCAATCTTGTGCCAACAGGAACTGAATCTGAATGTTGATAATTTGAAATTGAATGCATTGGTTTGAAAATAAATTTCACTAAATTGAAACTGAATTTAATGTTTTGTATCTGAATTAATTTGTTTTGAAACTGTATTTTGATTTATTAAAAATTCAGTTTGACTACTTTCACTTTCAGTTCCATAATTCAGATTTTTGTGTCACATCCTGGTCCTTGAGAAAGCCAGGCAGAGTAATCAAACACAGATCCACAGATTTATGTTTCACTTTGGTGAAGTTTCCCTTCTGGATGTAACAGAGTTGATGCAATCCACTGTAAAAGTGACAAAAATACATTTACATCACATCATGGATCAGTCAGCAGCAGCATATGTGATGTAAATGTA